GATTAGGACTCCTTACCCTGATCTAATCTTATCTCGGCCAGTCCTACTCCTATTAGGACTTTGAATTCAACCCCTTATCAGGCCACATTCATTCCCAAGTTTTAGCATCCTCTGTTGGAAATGTGCCCTAAAACCAATCATATGATGATACTTTACGGACATTTCACATGTTAAACTAATCTAGTTTAATATCAAGAGCAAAAATTATTGTTTGAGCCGTCTCATATAAATGTTATACGCTTAAACGATAAGTCCAAGGAATATGTGATTGGGAGAATGCAATCTAAAGAAGTTAGATTCATGAGACCATTCTTTCGTAGACACATCCTAAACGTTCCTGATCATAGGATTGCCAATTGGGCATTGACAGTCCGTTAAGATCAGTACGTGCTGTGTCTTCTCTTAGGGAGAGTGACTAGTCTCGAGTCATTGGTGTGTGTGACATCAAGACAAGCATGTAGGTGCTCAATAATGAATGAGTCCATTGAACATGATCAACGAGGAGTTCTCATACTCATGTCACATGAGAACTCATGGTTGGGATAATGCAAAGTAGTCATTTGACCTGAGGCATCATAGTTGTCTTGTGGTTAAGTCCTTGATCTTTGATTATGTCAAAGTCACTCCATCAGGAGGGTGTCCACGGCATCGTCGGGGTTAAGCCACTTAGCCATGGAGGCAAGTGAATGCGCAACAAGGGATCTCTAACCTTCAAACCGTTTGGGGGAGAATACTCTATGATATGATTGAGAATCTCTGGCCAGAGTATGAATGAGATTTAGGAAGTCGTTCCAAATCACATTCAAGGTAATCATATAAGCACACGAATCACATTGGATAGTAGACATGAATAAATTATCAAACCAAACAATGTGGTCAAGAGTATTGTATTAGAGAAAGACCGTATTGCATTTGTAATCCTAAACTGAATAGGTTCTCCACCTCTTCTGATTAGCTTGGGTAACCATGATATACTGCTAGGTGTCACTCATGGTTTGTGGAAGCCCTAAACGTGTATAATCACTAAAGGGAGAATTGAAAGTAAGTTTCAATTCACAATCAATTTGAAATGGTTTTAATCGCCCACTGCCACGCTAAAAGGAACCTAATGGATCGTACACCGTGTAAGGTAGAGATTGAAGAAACAACGGAGATGAGTAAGAATAATTAAATGGTTTAATTATTTATGGCAAGGATTAATTAATATGTTAATTAATCAAACGAATAAGTTCGTTAAAGACCTCGGGATAGTTTTGGGCCTCAAGGCCCAATGGGCTTCGAACGTCAAGCCCATTGACTTAAGTTGTATGACAACTTAATGACAAATAATTCACAAAGGCCTTAAAAAAAAAAAGCCCAATGAAACCCTATGGCCGGCCATTTTGTTAAAGGAGTGGGTTTTGGACTTAATTACAAGTTTGCCACTCCAATGAATAAAGGTATAAATATGACTTTATAGCCAAAATTCATTTAGGGTTTTCTTTTGGGGAAAGGATGAGAACATAAGCTCTCCTTTCTCTCTAAAGTGGCCGGCCTCCTTGGAGGGTTTAGCTAGCAATCCTACTACTCCAAGGTCACTCATTTCTTCTCCAATCTAACCTTGGTGAAGAGACTTAGAGGTTCTCAATTTTGGGAACTTGGAGAACCATTTCATCCATCCAAATCCATAGATCTAAGATGCAAGGAATGAAGGCCCTCTCTTTGGGTGATTAGCCTTTGCTTATGCAAAGAGGAATCTACAAAGGTATAATTTCTCAACTAACAAATGTTGTTTTAAGTTGAGTCAAGGTTCACCAATCTACTAGGCTTTGAATTTAATGGGTAATGTTTTGTTTTGAGTGCATGCAAGCATGATTCCGCCTTTAATTTGTTAATTGCATGCTATAGATGTTATTGAAATGAACATGTTTTTCACAAAATTTCCTTCATCCTCATCCTGCTGAGAATCCTTATTGTATCAGGATTCAACTACCCCATCGTGAAAGGACACGGCCAGCCCCTGAGCAACGTTTCTGGGCCGAGAACAATTCTAAACTCAGCCCAAACCAGTATTTTGGGCCCAAACAGAACCACTTTCTTTGCTTATAGTATTTGGATAAGATGACAATGCTTGAAGTGGGGATTAAGTTCATAGCTCTTAAGGAATCTAAGGTTGAGCTATTTGAGGAGGTCGAGATTCAGCTGATTCTTCACTTGGAGGAGATGAAATTCGGCAAGGCAGCTTTGTAGACCTTATGGTTATATAATTAAAACACAAAACAAGGAGTTGGTTAACCTAATCACAAGACGATAGTCATTGGAGACCAAGCGGAGAGGATGAATGTTGTGACAATACCAAAGTCTCCTACAAAGTACCTAGCCGGATACAACTACTTTATGGGAAGCGTTTGTTGTGTATCTAGGGTTTGCAGGGACCATAATAATTATACTGGCTAAGGCATTAAGGTTCCGTCTATAAAGGACTCCCAAATTCCACTTTTTTAGCCCATCAGTTTGGTATCATAATCACATAAAGTCAAGGACTTCATCAATCTTACTTGTATTACAAGACACCTGAAATAAGATTGATATATTTAGGAAATTGATAGGTATTTTTACCACCTGCAAAAGTAGGGATAAAAATACTAAAATACTTGCAAGAGCACAAGGTAATTGTAGTATAGATGGCTCTAGCAAGGTCATTCTCCACAGGGATTGAATGAATAGTCTATGTTAGATCAAATCTTAATTAAAAAGTTGATCTTATGATTTAAAATAATAAAAACGAATTTAATAGAAAATAATTAAATAAAGTGATAAAATAAAATAATTTTTTAAAATTAAATTGTAAAAGCCTAAGGTTCCGCCGTCACTTTAACAATCCTATATAGTTTTTCCAATTACTTATGAATTAGACATGCATATTTTGAAGGTTAGGTTTTCCTAAAATATGCCTACTTGGACCCCCAACATAGAGTGTATATCAAACATGCAACCCATCTGTAGTATTCAGATCAAATTTAAACATGCATGACTCATTAATCTTTATGAAACCTTTTGAAAAACCATACAACCCTTAAGATGTGGTATTCATCCTAAGTGAACTTGCATAGATTAACCACAAGAAATCTTCGTCAATTTCAAGGACCGACCTCCGACCAAAATTGCATCAAATTACTTTTCTAAAGATCCTAATGGTAGCTAAGCATTAAGACAATTAGACATTATAAACTGGTGATTAATAATTCAAACTTGCATGCATAATATCATAAGCAAATTGAAAAGAAACTACATATTCTTGCTAAGGCTCGTGGCCTCGCCCTAGCAAACGGAATTTAGTTACTAGCAATCATAAAACGAAATATTATTAAAAATAAAAGGATAGAAAACACCATGAAAATAAACTTGAATCCAAAAGCTCTCTAAAGTGTGCGTGCTTTTTCTCCTTTTTCCCCTAATGGCTAAATATCTTATTTATACTAATACAAAATAAAACCCTAAAAAGTCTTAGAGTAAAACTAGGAAACATAATTAAATAATAAAACAGAAAATAAAAAGGTTTCCTATTTGATCTAAAATTCAGACTTCTCAGAAAATCAGACTTTTGACCAACCAAATCAACTCCGATTTGGTCCCAAAATGTATCTTTTGAAAGCTGAAGTCGTCCCCTACAAATTCTCAGAAGGAATTTTTCTCAAAATATGCCCTCTTGACCTCTAAAATACTCAAAACGTCCAGAAACGTCAATCTGGGAAAGCTGCGCGTTGGGCCTTTATTTCATCGCCACAGTCAAACGGCTAAGTAGACAAATCTGAAACTTTGATACAATCATCTTTAAAGACTCGCGAACATCCTTCAATTGGAATTACTCCAAAATTCATTTGTTGTTCACTTTTTGTTCCAGAGAAAGTCAAATGTCCTACATTAGAAATATAATTCAAAGTATCAAAATTCACACATAATAACCAATAAATTATTACTAAGATTAGAGCAAAATAAATAGTATAATATCAACTCATCAGAAATCAAATCACAATATCTATATTAATCTCCAATATTACATTCCTATTATATGTTGTAGACCATTTAAGGTTGATTTACATTGGAATAAATCCAACAAGCTTATCATTTGAAACATCCACAACCTCAATAGGTGGTAGATCTTCCAGCTTAGGAGTAGTGTTATATTAAGTTACTTCGCCAATGTGTTGAATATCTAGATCACCAAATTGTTGTCTTTTTGACAAAGGACGACTCGTGTTTTTCTCATAGGTGGCTTCCTTAGCCCAATAGTGGGATTATGGGAAAAATTGGCATTTTGATTGTTTATAAGAAACTCTTGGGTTTTTCGCTTGGGAAACTCACTACACTAGTACAAGAATCGATCAAGAAAAATATTTATGGAATTGAGTGCAGGAGCTAAGATAAAGTATGGGGATTGATGGCCGAATAAGGGATAAGTAGTCGAAAATTTGTAGTTTTAGTGTATTTTTGAATCTTACTATTTTCGAAACTAACTATTTCGTAAACTAATTATTTCTAAAACTGAACACGGGTGCTACACTATTTCTTAAAATGAACACTAACTATTTCTAAAAATTGAACACAGATACTATCACTATTTATGAACTAAACATTGGTACTGACTATTTCTTAAACTGAAGACTGACTATTTCTGAAACTAAACATTGGTACTACACTATTTCTTAACTGGGGGAAAATTTAGTATCTACACACACACACACAAGATTTCCACCCCTTGTACTTTAACAAAGTGTGGTTTCCACCCCCTTACAAGGTTTGTTAATGTGTGTATATATACACATTAAATACACATTAACAAACCTTGTACAAGGGGTGGTGATCTGAGATGATCTAATTCATGAGTAGAATTTGGGGATGATCTCAGATTCTCAAGGGATCTTTAGTTGCTAAGATATATCCCATCTAAAGTGTTAATGTATATACTCACCGTGCAATCAGTCATCCAAAAGCATTTGTAACGCGATCAACAAGATGAGTTTGTTTGAGCTAATGCTCGTGTGAAATGCTTTTAAAATAATTAAAAATGCTTTTGCATCACAAAAATATTTACATGTTTGTATCCGTAATATCATGTCTCACGAGTCCCGCATACACATCCCATTTGGGTAATGTCTTGGTCACCAAGAAAACGGTCACCATATGAGAGCAAGAGTAACAACACCTCAAAAATGGCGTACAAAGTTAGGTGCAACCTTCCCAGCATTCATGCTTTTAACAGTTACTTCCCAGACGAAACTTGTGCCTATTAGATTTGGATGTTGATGACCAAAACCTGTGGAAAAGGAAATCAGTCGGACATCAATCTTCAAAAGCATTTAAGCGAGAGAAGCTAGCACAAACTATATTGTGAAGTTGATGATATCGCCCCTCATCAATGTCAATGAAGAGCGGTACATGTACATCAAGAGACTTACACTGCAAATAACTGAAATCAGCTACTTTCACCACCTATCATTTACTTGCCCCAATAATAAATAGAACCCTCTCCTTTAGCCTATTGATAGTCTGCGTCATGAAAGAAAACCGATCAGTACTCAGTAGAGAATGACACAGATAGTACGATTAACTGCAACTAGGTTTCAAAATCCGGACCAGGATAGACATCCTTTTCCATCTTTCACTAGAGGCAGCAGCATCTTTGAGATGAGAACAACGTGGATTGTCAAAAGTTAAAAAGTAAGCTGAATTTTCTGTAGCTTCAGCTACCCAAAGGCAATTCATTTCATCCTTTTCTCTCTTGGTCAGATTACAAAACCCAACCTGCAAACAGGAAATTTAAAACAAGAGAGTGGTAAATGGTGATGCCAATTTTAGTATGACAGTAACCCCACGACTCGATGTCTAAAGATGAAAACCACATAGGCCTATTGGAGATACAGTAATGAGTTATAACTACTTCCTACATTTCATTCAGACATAAGCATTCAGGCATCTAACTGTCTATATAGATTTATATAGATTTCAGTCAACATCAGATCTATTCAAACGTAGGATTAAAAGAAACCAAAAAAGCCACCTTCATATTCCATTTCTAGATACTAGTCGTGCTTCACACAATGATTTGAATCAGTGATGTTCTGAAAATAACTAAGAAGATACATTGCATACCGTAGATCCTGTGAGGTTATAGTTTATAGGAGCATTTGAAACATTGTCAATGTATGGTGAAGAGAAGCAGATTGCAAGTAGAGAATCACATAATCCTTCCGACTTTAATTCAGATTTGGAGCCGTCTGTTACAAACACCCACTGTTTCTTCTGCTGAGCAGCTATATAAGCCTCTCCCACAAACACAACGGATGCAGCAATATCAAATTCGCTGCATAACAACCCCCCACAACCCAAAAAATAAACTAAATCAACTAATTCCACATTACTTTTCTCTGGAGAAAAGCAGAAAAATCAGTAGAAAAAGCATAGGCTTAGTTTAGGAATAACCTGGAGAGAGGAACTTTACCCAAATCTGACAATAAGACTGATTCGCGAGGACTGAAAAATGGCCTGAGGTGGATCTGACCCCTTTAGTAAAAGAAGTAACAAGAATATAAAGAAAAATAAACTACATAAATAATACTTACTCGAAGTAGTTTATTGCCTGCTGAGATAAAGGCTGCCATTTTGTTGTTGATCCTCTTGCCAGCAATTTTAAAATATCTCCATCAGAACTTGTTGGTATAAGTCCAGAAATGCTATATGCACATCCCTCGACCAGCTCAGAGTTCTGCTCTACCAGAAAATAAACTTGATGATGCTCATAAGTAGCATTGTAACATTCAATGAATAAATTCAGTGGAGCATATTCGTCATTTATGTTTGATAAACAAACAAGGGATAAGAGAGGCAGCAGAGACAGAGAAAAGTGATCAACAGAATAGCTATTAAAAGAGGATCCATTACACACTTGGATTCACCTGTTTCTCAGATGGGTTCCAGATTGTTATTAAGCCTTCTTTGGAACAGTCTTTCCCTTGGTATAATTTTCTTGTTAGTCCAACCACCCTCACTCTCATGAATGGCGTGACTTCCCTCTCACTTAAGCCGGCATCTTCCAGTGCTTTCAGAATTGATTTCTCCATGTCCGACTGTTTGATGGCCTAAATCCAAACCTTCCTTGATTAAAATCTCATTCTACACCAGACTTAAATTCAAACAAAATATTTCAAACCCACCTCTAGCTTTGCTTGATATTTGGTAAAAGATTTCAACTGTTCTGCACTCATTTCTGCCATTAAAATTTCAGGTTCAGCTGCTGTCTGTAGTATCTTCAAGAGTTTTGCTCCTTCATCATCGCTATCATTACACAAATGCGAATGTTCTAATCCTCTTTGGAACTCAGAGATAACGCCTTCTATAACATTAGAGCGCCTACACTCAAGAGAAATATCAACCACAGCACATAGGAATAGTATTGCCAGAGAGTATGTTTAGAGAGAGAGAGAGAGTGTGTGCGTAGTGTACTCAACCCCCACATTTTAAATCAAAGTTCCAACTCATCACTTTTGAAAATTGCTGATATAACATCGACAACCACCAAGCCTTATCCCACTAAGTGGGGTCAGCTGTGATGTAACACCCAAAGGGAAATCATTTTTTAGAATGAATTTTAAGATAAAACTTCAAATATGTTCATATTTCAAATGTTCTCAACTCCCACTTTTTTACATCAAAGGTCTAATGCATTGCTTTGGAAAATTGCTGATATAACACCAAAAGCAAATTATTTTTTATGAACCTAAGATAAAACTTCACTTATGTTCATATATCACTAAATATCTACTGTGAATGTGGAATAATACTTCTTGTTGTAAAATTGGTTGAAATATGGATTGCTATTTTTATATATGGATTGTAGAATGAGAAAATATGAGTGTCCTTTAATCTACGGAAGTGTAAGTTTATTTGATATGAAATGAATTCAAGTTCTCAGTATATATGTACACAAAATTATTAGTTCTGAAGAATAGCAACCCCATGAGTTTAAATCTAAAGAATTAGTAATCCTTAATATTTATATTCCTCATCACTACCCTTACATCTTGTGGAATCATACTCTACTTTCACTCAATAATTTAACCAAAATTGTATTAAGGCTGTTGATGAAAGAAAAATCACCCTTTGTGCAATAAGACCATTCTTGGGATGTTTATGAGTTATAACAATTGACAATTCTTATAAGAATAATATTCCCACTCCCAAGATCATATTTTAACTTTTCATCAAAAGCATTCTAATTATTCGTTGCTTATTAGGAAAGCCAGTCATCCATTTCAGCATATTTAATCCTCCCAACTAAGCTCATGCATTCCTGCACCATCGAGTACAGCATATCATAAATAATCATGTAATTTCATTTAATAGTTTCTCCTAAACTATAAAAGTAACTTTTCATCAAAAGCACTTTCTATTTATTCGTTGCTTATTAGGAAAGCCAGTCATCCATTTCAGCATATTAAGTTCTCCCAACTAAGCTCATGCATTCCTGCACCATCTAGTACAGCATATCATAAATAATCATGTAATTTCATTTAATAGTTTCTCCTAAGCTATAAAAGGCCCAAATTATCCAGAACCATCATGTAGCTTCCAGCAAACCAAGACCCATATGTGACAAAATAGGAACCCTTTTAGCATACTTGAGGCTAAGAAAAAATAAATCAAGAGCAACTAGACAGGAGAATATTTTAAAGACCAGCTAACAAATTCTAGATTTTGAATGAATAAGGAAACATGATGTATGAATACTATCTAAAAGGAAATTATCGGAAAAGACACCTCTGTTGGTGTGATTCCACCATTTGGGTCTCCAACCTCTCAGATCTTACAATAGATCTTCCATTACTTAACCTAGAAGGAAAGTAAAGAACAGTGATTAATTTCATAATTCAGAAGAGGACATACAGTATCATCTCAAGTAACTATAAAATATTCCACATTACCTCTCCTTGTAAAGAACAGGGTATATCCGTTTGACTCCTACAAGAGTGCAAGGGACTGGACCTCCACCACTCTTGGCACACTTAAATGCTAAGGGAGCACAAACACCTTTACCTATAGGAATAAATATGAGAATCAAGCACAGGAAGACAATATAACAAAACATTATGTATGCCAAAGGCTTCTTACAAAATCCCAATTGATCAGCCCAATGAGCTCTATATGTTCCGTTTATGTGCAGCCGTAAAGAGACTTGTCTTGAAACCTGAAGCAGAAGCAAACCTGAGAATTGCTATAACAACAAGATTTAAAGTTTTAGAACTTTCACTTCAGGAAAATTGCAAAAGCATTGAGAACCTCGAGGGGTGAAACAGGCCCAGCCCAGCCACTGAGTGCTGCTCCCCAGATCTTCATAAGACATAATAAACTATAAGCAAGCAGAAATCTGAACAGAATGGTTTAGTTCTTAAATAAGATGCACCAAAAATTAGAGCAACATATTAGTTACCCGAAGCTTCTGTCCAACAAACAATTTTCCGCTAGCAAGCTGCTTTGACAGGAGTGCATCGAGAACAGCATCCACTGAATACCTGTAAGACAACATAATCTTACATGCCATCTTTTTATACAATACAAGTGTATGAAGGTAATTACTTACCAACCATCAGTAAGCTCGACTTTCGCAGCACTACTATTTTCAGCTCCAGAGCTAGTCTCCATATTTGGGTCACAATTTGAGCAAATAGCTGAAATGCATAGAACCACCGGTGAAGAAGGTGATGCATCTCCTTCCAGAATCTTCTTAATTGCAGACCGGTGACCATGATTCACTTCTCTTTCATATCTGTCCAAATAAGGTGCATATTGATATTGTGGATTCCCAAAAAGCCCCAAGGGTAAACTGTATGATTATATTATTACAAACTTATCAGTATGGATACCTATACTTCAATTCCTCGAGTACATTGGAGACTGTCAAGAATTTTCCAAACGATTTAGCTGGATAATATCTCTCATAGCAAGCCAGTTTCCAGACAACCCACTTGTAATGATTTGTGACCCACCTTGATAGAGGAATAATTAAAGAATGCTCAACAAAACGTCAGGTACGTGGTTTAGAAATAACTAAGATACAGAACATTGGCATACATGGTACTGATGAAATTCAACAAGTTGCACACAATGCAAACAAATCCAAGATGATAACACAAGCAACCTATACTATCATGCCAGTTGTATGTACAACTTTGAGATGTGAGTGAGTCCTACGCAGTTTTTCAACTTTCAGTATGTAGTGCATTTAAGGTTTCACTGATGAATTCTGTCCAAACTTTGTATACGTCAATAATCTCAATATTATGTGTGCAAGCTAAAGAGAAATGAACTCCATTTTTTTCCTTCTAATTTCTTTTCTATCTGGAAATGCCGAAGAAAATTATCTAAGGACAGAAATATTTACTCTCTGGAGGTATATTGCATTGAAGCTCCATAACAGGCCAGCATGTGGACAAAAGCTTCTGCTCCTATGCAGTTTAAGCCAGACTCATCAAGAAACGTATACTTTTCCGCATTAGTTGCGGTGATTCTTCTCACTGGATCTGATAAACACTCCAACTAAATTTGGTGCATAAAACGGTATCATTGCCAAGGTATAGATAATCTGTTGAGATAATTAACAGAATTATTAATCCCCATACCATGTTCTGGTCAGGTCGCGGCATTCCAAAGTATTTCTTCACATACATTCTAGTCACGGGTGAAGGATATCGTGTAGAAACCCTTCTTTTGGAACATGAATGATCAGAGGACAATGTAGACACACCTGATGGAACAGTAGCTTAATGAATAGCATAACATTTAGTAACCAATATAATAATCAGAGTTGTTGTCGTAGGAGATTAGTAAACTTTACCATTAGGAACAAGGGGAACATTCCTAGGCAATGGAGTGGAGGAGTTTGTGCGAGGCTTCTTGAATGGAGAAATAGAACTTCTTCCCAACCTCCTCTTTACACCAGTGATCTGTTTAGTATTCATAGCAGTGGTGCCAACAGTATTTGAAATATCAACCAATGGCTTGGCTGGCGGCTTTCCAGCATGATTAGTCCTCAAACCAATACCATTTGCCAAACAATTGTTTTCTACTGTATTGTGGGTCCTGCTAAGGGGATTCTGCCGATAAGGTAACTCACTGTTTGACCTAGAAGCAGTTTCATTGCTAACACCATCGAATTGGGTAATGAGGTTAGTACCCGAACTTATAGTTGACGACCACAATTGATTAGACAATGGTTGCAGTGGAGATGGAGAAGCCTTGAATGGAGAAATAGAACTTCTTCCCAACCTCCTCTTTAAACCAGTCATCTGTGTATTATTCGTAGCTGGTGTGCCAACAGCATTTGAAATATCAAACAATGGCGTGGCTGGTGGCATTCCAACATGATTAGTCCTCAAATCAATACCATTTGCCCAACAATTGTTTTCTACTGTATTGTGGGTCTTGCTAAGGGGATTCTGCCGATAAGCTAACTTACTGTTTGACCTAGAAGCAGTTTCATTGCTAACACCATCGAATTGAGTAATCAGGTTAGTACCCGAACTTATAGCAGACGACCGCAATTGATTAGGCAATGGTTGCAGTGGAGATGGAGAAGTATTGGTTAAAAAGTTGTTAATCTTCTTCTGGTGGGAAATGGGAGTGCGGTTATCATGTGGACTACCTTTAGAAAATGCGAAACCCAAGTCACCTGCATTGGCCTCATTGAAGAAATTTCCCAACTCTGGGTCACCAAGTAGACTCCTTGCACGTTGTATTGCATCAGTAGAAACAGATATAGATCTACCTCCTGCTGTATGGAACTTGATTGATGAAGGTTTAACTTTATCAGGAGTTAAATTAAGCCTTTCAGGATCATTCTGAAATCTAGTTTGCAGTGAAACAGTCTTATTCATAATTAAAGGAGTCCCTGCAACCAGGGCAGCACTGTTAAAACCAAAACCCACAATCTTGGTGGGAGCATTGTCATCGTCTTGGAATCCAAGCAATGTCTTCGCCCTGACAAGACTGTCGGGGGATATATTAACCATTTTACCGGATCCAGTGTGGAAAAGGGAATTAGATAAACCACCTACACATCCTCCGCCTCCACCTGCACCTCCGCCTCCACATCCACTTCTGTTATTCATAATCGTAGCTTGCACTTGGCCTGCGCACCCACCTTGAACTTAGAAACAAATTTGCCCCAAATAATTATAATCCCAAAAATTTCCTAATTTAATCAATTTCTCATATTTCCCCTGAATCCTAAATCCTAAATCGTGAGGTTGCATAGAAAATGGTATCAAAATTGAAATTGAAACTGAAATTGAAATGGAAACTGAGCAGAGTGTGAGCGTGCCTGGACCTGAGGGTGTTGCGATTTGGGAGCCAAGAAGCAACGAAGATGCTTTGGCTAATGAAGATTGTTTGACGGCGACGGGCTTTCCGAATCCGTTGCGGAACATCCCAACGCCACCTCCCTCAACAACCTGATTTCGAATCTCAGCCTCCGCCAGCTTAGAACATCCTTGCAGCAACACATCCCCCATGGACGGCACCCGGCTGCTGCTGCTCCTATCACTCTCACTAGGACGATAAACGACACCGTTTATGACTTCGGGTTTGGGGTCCGGGTACCACCGGTAATTGTTGCCGGCATCCGAGCACATGTGCCATGTCGCCATGTTCAGGGATCGACTTTTCTGGAGAGGGAGGGTACGATTACTCATCAATTGTTCCCTTTAATATTTGATGATTTTTTCGAAAAAAAAATATGGGGAAATGGCGAAAATTTAAAAAATTAAAATTAAAAAGCGCGCCAAAATTAAAAAGCTCACCCAAGTCCCTCCAGGGTTCTGGGGTTGGATAGCCCTAATTTCTTAATGAGGTTTTTAATGCATTTTTTTCATGATCTTTAAAACAAGGATAATGCTAGCGACACAAAAATTTAAACCAAAATTTCAAATTAAATGAAATGTCACCAATAGTAAATAAGCACATTAAGCAATACTTAAGTAATAATTCAATCATCAGAATCCACATTATTTGGTTTACAAAATTTGTTTTAGAAATTTGGTTCCTCTAGTATTACCCTTAAAACAATGGAATGTTAGACACAAAATTGCAGCTTACAATTATAGTCTAGTTGTTGGCTGCGAGATCCACACACAACTCTCCCCTATGTCTGTGTGAGTGATGAACTCTCATTAGTTTGAAGGTGTCTTAGTCAAGCGTTGAGTAGACTTTTAGGATCTCTTACAAATAAAGTTATTTTTAGACGTGCCACTGCTAACCAAAACCAACAGATTGTTTAGTTTTAAGTGTTGTATATATAGGTCATTTGCTCATGCCACAAGTAAACTGGCATTCTTCTCAAAAGATTGTTCCTATGGAGGGGTTAAATCCATATTTAAGTTCTTTTCTATGCCTTGAAGATAAGGACTTTTATATTTCTATTCTATTGAATGCCAAAATCAGAAACTGATCAGTAATGATCCAACTCAGTTTGCATTCCTTGTAAGAAAAAGAAAGACATAAAGCAAGGTAGAATGAAATGAAATGAGAACTGAAAGAATAGTGCTTGCAAATACTCAAGGAATGTTAGTGAAATGGCAGTAAATAACACTAAATGTCAATAAATCATAAACACAAGTAGTCACGCAAAGTTTTAAACCTATTTTGGCAAGTTACAATGTCTGTCAGGCAAGTTCTTGCATTTGCAAGCAATGTTCTGGTACGAGGCTTTAATATAGGAAATTGATACTACAAAGGTAAGTATCAGAGCTATAAATACAAAGGAATATTTAAACTACATAAGGAATAATCAAAAAGTAGGTTGCAAAGCTTTTAGAAGTCTTTTTGTGTTGAGTTGAGTGTTATTTTCTCTATTTATTTTGATGCCTTTAATAGATTATTTCTTCCTTCAGAATTAAGCCTTTGTAACTCAATTCATTCCCTTTCACCCATGTGATTGATGGGATATTTGTCAGAGAATGAGCTCCCACTTGGATACTTGAGCTTTGATCCTCTTGGATTTACAAATTTTGCCATTAAAAAGCATTTTTCTTTTGCAAAACTCGGTTGACTAATCTCTTTCAGTATGAAAATAGAGCAGTCTTGTCGCCCATTGTTATCACGTCAAAAGTTCCTTCAAACCTTCGGGTCGGTCACTGTTCATTTCCGTTAAAAATAAATACCCAACAACAGTCATGTGTTAAATAAGATGTTGGGCCTTGGACAGGCCCAACTGTTTAATTTGGGTCCCAACACTAGCAGTATATTTCGTTACTTGTAGGTGAGAAATTTGAGCTTCCATGAATTGTGAGTTAGACATCAAATTATTCATCAACATGATAATTTTTACAAACTGCAATTCCCTCAAAATCTGATAAAAATGTTGGATTTGTTACTTCTTAAAATACACTATAAAACCCTTCAAATCCATCGAAAATCATCACTTTTTAAATTCCTTCATTATTAAATTCATACACTTTGGATTTTCATAGACTTGTTCAAAATTCTAAATGAATAAGATTTGTAAACTCTTTTAAAATAAACCTATACATACTTGTCTAAATGTCACCAAACAAATAATTAGAGAGCCATCATTCTCATTTAGAAAATTAGAATGGACACAATGTGTACCGATATTCCCATATTATAAATATTCATTTAAATAATCAATCCTACGTTGGGAAATGGGAACACAATTTTAGAATGTTCTAAATCAATTATATTTTTCTCCCAACTCTTGTGGTTGTCCTTCATGGATCCACTATTTAAAATTATTATGATAATTTTTCTAAAAGATTGCTCCTTTCTTTTTTAGGTCAACAAGAAATTTATTGAAAGGGAGGCAAAGCTCCAGAGCAAATACAAGGCCAAGACAACAAACTAAGGCTAGAAAACAAACAAAAAGGAATAAAAAAACCAAGGCAAGTCGCCCACCACATGAACAAGGAAGGATAGCATGACTTGAAGTGAAGCTTCAGTCGCCTTCCCTGAACACCAAGACCCAAGGCCTGATGTGGACACGGTAGACCGTCATTAGATAAAATATGGATGAAAGCGGATGGGGGTCTGGTCACCCAGACTTCTGGACACATCCCTCTTTTACATTGCGATGCAACCCAGTTGGCTATAGAATTTGCTTGGCAAGGGATCCAAGACCAACGAAGGAACTGGAACCGGAGACTAAAATTGCCAATTTGGTTGAAGATAGGGAAAGTGGCCCATCGAGAGTGAAGAAAGGAGTCATTGATACTCTGAACCAATGTTGCATAATCAGATTCAAAAATCACCTTGGAAAAGTTATTTTGCACTGCCAATTCCATGGCAAGAAAGGCACATTTAGCCTCAACTTCCAAAGGGGAGGCAGTCATACCCTTGGCTCCTTTACCTGTGATTAACTTCCCAAATGCATCTTTTACCACCACTTTAAGACCCAAGCATGAAGAAGCCTTTGACCACGAGGCATCACAATTGATCTTAACAATATTTGGCAGGTGAGGGGCCTAACGTGGAGGATGCAGCAGGTTAGCTTGAGGAGAAGAAGGAACCATAGGAACTTTGATGAATTCGTTGCTAGCTTCTGTTGCTAATTTCATGGTTTTATATGGATAGGGGAGAACATTATTAAAACTTGCATGGCATCTAGCCTTCCAGATTTCCAAGCAAAGGAAAGAGACAAAAGATAATACTTTAGGTAAAGTCATACCCAAGCCATTCACCACTAAAGAGAGAACTAACAACCATCAATCAAATGAATTGATAGATTGACGATCGATGTGATAGTTCAGCCCAGATGCGAACCAAACCATAGAAGTCCACAAGCAAAGGAATAACATATGCTCAACAGTTTCAGGCTCATTCTTACAAATGGGACAAATGGGATTATTCCAAACCCAATGGTAATAGAGACTCTCTATGGCCAGGAGACAATTGTTTGCAATCCTCCAAAAAAATAACTTGATTTTAGGGAGTGTTTCCATTCCCCAAATAAGTTTCTAGAAGGTAAACTCCACAGACAGGGATTGACCAGCATTATTGGTAGATAAGGGCTGATTACACAAGGTAATAGCATGACCAAAGGCATAACCTGATTTAACAGAATAGTCACCATTGAGGGACCACAACCAAATAAGATGATCAGGGTAGGAAAGATCTCCAAGAATGATACTCTCAATAGCCGCAGATTCCATAAGAGGAATGAGATTGCGTATAGTCCCCATGTTCTAAGAATGATGTCACTGAAATAATATCTCTAGCCGTGGCCTCGTTCTGGGACATGACAAGTCTGGTGGAACAAACCATCAGGTGTGCTTGTAACCCATTTGTCTTGCTAAATGCAGACACGTATCCCATAACCAATTTGCCATATGGCCCTTTTGATAATAAGAGCCTGACCTTCCAAGAGACTGCTCCAGGCCCAAGATGCACGACCTCTCTTGGAGGCATTCAAAGCGTCCCCTGAAGGAAAATAGGGACCCTGCAAAATACAACCCCAGAAAGCAGAAGGTTCAGCCATGAGTTGCCAAAACTACTTAGCTAAGAGGGTAGTATTGTAGTCTATAAGGTTTCGGAAACCAAGACTACCGACAAACTTTGAGGCACAAATAGCCAGCCATTTTTGCCAGTGAATCTTATGCTTATTCTCCCTCTGACCCTAGCAAAAGTGGGTCAGAAGGGCATTAATATCATGACAGAAGGTGGTCGGGAACACTAAACAGTTCATAGGATAAGTAGGAATGGCCATGGCAACAACTTTAATTAAAACTTCATGACCAACCAAAGATAATGATGCCAATTTCCAACTCGGAATCTTGTGAGCGATCCGCTATTTAACAAAAGAGAGAGCCTATTTTTTAGATAGCCCCCACACAGTAGGCAAGCCAAGATATTTCCTCGGGTTTGAGGTTTAAGGAATATTAAATAAAGTACAATCATCATTGATGACAGTCTGGAGAGTATTTGTCGAGAAGAAAATGGAAGATTTCTGAAGATTAATACTTTGGCCAGACGATACATTGTACAAATCCAAAATTCTCAAAAGAGCATTGCAATTATCCTGATTAGCCTTAATGAAGAAAAGCGAGAGAAAAGTGGGAGAGCATCGGGCAAGAAAGGGCAAGAGAAATACCAGACAAAGCACCAACCTCGCAATGATCAGAAATCAGGGATGAAAGAGCCTCGGTGATGAAGAGAAATAGGTAAAGAGATAAGGGGTCACCCTGACGCATTCCTCTAGAAGGAATAAACTTCTCCCTATACTTGCCATTGAAAGTGACAGAAAATGAAACCGTTTTGACACAAGTCATAACCATAGAAACCCATCTTGCCTGAAATCCCAATTGAAGAATGTCCCACTCTACCTGATCGTAGGCCTTGTTCATATCAACTTTAAAACCCAACTCAAAATCCCAGTTTGATTTTTTTTTTACTTCAGATAATGGAAAGCCTTATGAGCAACAAAAATATTGTCTTTAATATGACATCCTAGACGAAAGCACTGTGGTGGTGAGATATGAGACCTGGGAGATAGGTCTTTAAACGATTTGGCATCAACATGGAAAAGATCTTGTACACAATAGAGGTTGATGGGACAGAATTGAGAGATGGACTCAGGTACTTCCACCTTGGGGATAAGGACAATATTGGTATGTTTCATCTCCTAATAGAGATTTCCACTAGAGGAAAATTCAGAGATGGCCTGAGAGATAATTATATAACAATCTCCCAACAAGAGTGGTA